CTGCTCCCTGCTGAAGCCTCCAAAAAGTCTGAAGATCCCGTTTTCTTCTCTAAGATCAGAAACCAGTCTTTCAAGAATGGCGAATGTGAGAGCAAACTGCAGAGAGCCCGAGGAGAGCTTTCAGTGGGCTTTATCATCTCCCTCTCTTCTAGGGGAAGGTGCAATCTGTCACCAAATTACCTTCTAAAGTTGGCAGTCTGGCTGTTTGCTCAACCCTTCAGTGCCTAGTAATTACAACTGCAAAAGTAATAATTCATTTAAATGTCAAAATAACATATGCTTTGTGAATTCAGTGACTGAAAAATAAATGGATACAGAAGAATGTTACCCACTGACGTTTGATAAAATTAATATAATCGTTGGGGTTTGGGGAAACAAACGGCATTAATTTTATATTTCTTTATATAATATTTAAGCAGAAGTAATAAATATGTACTCCAAGGTACTAGTGTACTATTTCATATACTGCAGGTGTTTCTGTAACAATGCTGTCAGTTCAACTAATTAGAACATAGACAAGGGAAGTGTGCGACCTGTAATGCTCCATTGTTCCTGAAGACAAAAACATAATGAAATATAATGTCTTCCTCCCATTGGAGAGTAATGAAGAACAAAACTAATTTGTTGGACCAAAAATTAATTAGACACATCAGAATCAATTGTACCTATTACTGTGAAAGTTTGCAGCTGTTCCTCATATTATTATGCCAATGATGGAATGTAAGAGTGAACAGGCCAACTGATGAAGAGAAATAATAGCTATACCATTAACCAACATTTCCGTTATCTCCAATTTTATTTCTGATTTTCCAAGTGAAAATTTTTACCATATCAATAGAGATCATAAAAATTTTATTCTTGATTCTGTTTGACTCTTCCATAAAATTTTTCAACATCCTTCTTGAAGTATTCTAACAGGATTCCTATAACAGTGACACAATTTCTAACTAAAGAAATAATATACTTCCTACTGCTCCATATTATCCTGGTTTTACGTTCTGGATTGTTATGGGCCTGTTCTCTAGAATTGGTCTGAGAAGTCAATAATTGAATATCCACCATGAAAATGAGTTATTTTCAGAAAAAAACGACTTCTTAGAAGAAAATATATTTAAGAATATATTTAAGAATAACATCTTTCTTTTTATACACTGGACTCTGTATTTCATGACAATGAAAGTCGTACTGTTCAGCAACATGGCTTAACTCTTCTGCATCACTGACCTGCCCTCTCAAGAATTCAGCATTTCTGCAGTTGTTCATTCTGCTTGCAAGTTGTTAAATAGTATAGCTAAGCACCTGGCCACATGGGACTCCATTATAATATAATCACTCAATGTTTTCCCATTCACGATGATGTTTTGAGGTTTATTCATGAGCTCATTTTTAATCCATGTAGTTTTGTTGGTTTTTTTTTTTAATTTATGTAAAAAAAAATCATTTTCTTAATTAATGTTCTTGATTCTCAGTCAAACATCAAGTGGTACCAACTCAAATTTTCCAGAAATGGTATCACTTAAACACTGTTACCTTTATCAAGCAAATTTATAGTCTGAGAAATAACTTCTAGCAATTCATAAGCATTAGAAAAATGGGACCGAAAGAAAATGGAGATACAGACCATACAAGTAATAACCACATCCAGCTTTGGGCTCCCAAAAGGGAAAAAAGAAATGAGAACAGAAACACAACACAAACAGAAAAGACTCTCCTTTACTTTTCATGCAAAGGACTCTTAAATGTGCAAAGATGCCACCAGACAGACTTGTTGAAGCAGACATTCTGGGATCATTTAAGAATAAATAAATACCACTGTATGTTTAACAATGTAAAATTAAGTCTCTAAATGCCAAAATTTTTTTTTCTTTTTTTCATACTGTATTTGCATCCTAATATCCCTTTCCTCCTCCTTGCAACAATACAGATCTCTCCACGTTCAACTCTTGATTTGATTATACTAATAATTTTTGTAAGGAAAAAGTCAGCATGAAGGGCTGTACCCAGACGTGGGGCTGAGCATTCTGGGAATCATCCAGCAAAGCACTTTAGTGCAAGTTTAACTCACAACATGTTAAGTGACACAAGGCTATTCACGTGCTTAAAATGCAACACACTTAAGTTTTTTGCAGGAACAAGCCCAATGTATTTAGTGCCTAGCCAGATGGACTCCCTAGTGAAATAAAAAAGCCCTGCTCAAAGCAAATGCAGTGACAGACTAGTCTCACAACATCAATTATTTACGCAGAGGTCCAAAATTCAGGCCTATTAGATGATATGTTTCTTGCATTTTCAAAAATCAATTTCTTGCTTTCAGTTCTAGAAAACTTTTTTCCCCTCTTTGGCGTTTCTGTGGCTGCCTTTTTCTAAAACCAGTGCTACCTTCACCTCCTCTCTAATATTTCCTTCTCCAGTGACAAGGTATTCAAAGCTGATGTATCCCAATTTCTGTTTTGATCCTTAGGGAACCTGAATATCATTAAACATTTAAGCAATGCTTAGGGGATGGCCTTTTCTAAAGGTCTACACATAATAGAATAGAACATGTGCGGGACATTGTGCTGAAAACATTTTCTAGAAAGAAAATCTTTAGTAACAACAAAAGACGCACAAGGAAACAAAAACCCGTTTTAAGTAATTAGATCATACAGTCAAAAGCAACAAAAATCCCGTATTACGCACTCAAAAGAGGTGCTGCTCTGCACAGCTCAATTGAGTTTTGCTAAATATGGTTACTTCTCCTATTCTTACCCTTCCCATATTGTTCCTGCCTTTGTATTTTATACTTGAGAAGAATTTCAGAGGAAACAGAATCTGTGTGTCCCTCGGGTCAGGAAAGTAATTCAGCGTGGAAACCACTGCTAAGAAAGAGTCATTTCAAAGGCAGGGATGATAACACTACCTTTGCTCTCTATTTGGACTAGAGGCCACTCATTCTTTGACAGAGGAAGCTCGTCTGCTTGGGATACCTGAGAAACACTGACTTGAAATGTTCAGAAAACCAACTGTAAATAGTGCCTTAGGCACCAATGTTACAAGTAAGGTAATATTACAGTCATCTGAACAGGAGGAAAAGGGAGCTTAAGCTGTTAGTTCTATAAATCTGTCAACCTGCAGAAGTGGTAAATTCATTTAAAAAAAAAAAAAAAACAAAAACAGTTTCACTAGATAATCTATATGTTCTCATATGACTTGGGAACGTATTTCCCTCCATTGGCTGCGAGAACTCTGCACAACAAGAAGACACGACATCAGCACGCAGTGGGACATTAAAAGCTAACTAAGTAGCTCTATTCCAATCTCATCTTTTCCTCCATGGATTTTTATGCTTCCAGAAGTGGTTTATGAAAGCGTTTCTTAAAGTCCAAACAGGCAAACCAAAACAACAGAACGGACAATCACTTACCGATTATTATGGGTTGTGGCTCACTTTTTACTCCCACACCTGCACTGGTGCTTGCAGCAACTTCCACGCGGTACTGAATACCTGGATATAGGCCACCTATTACTACAGACCGAATGGCTGCATCTACTGTTTTGTTGATATGAAATCGAGTCTCATTACCTAGGCACCAGATCTGGGATAAAAGTTGACATGTTAAAAAATATGAAATTCTTCATACTCATAAACAATCACACATAGATATGACATATCAAGGTAATGTAGGACAATCTCTTATTTTGGACTTCCAAACAATGTTACTGTCCAGGAGTAGCTGGAATTGGGATTATTTAGCTCAGCAAGCTATCCCACATTAGCATAGGATGAAGCCAGCTGTAAAGACTGCTTGCAGATACCCCTCTGGACTCTCCATGGAGTACAAATTCTGTGGTTACACTTCTTAGAAGCGGAGACCAGAATCATCCAAGTGAAAAAGAGGCATTACACATTAACTGAAATCTTATTCAGTAATATGATTATCACCAAACCTTTCCTAAAAAACCCCCACATTTTTTTCATTCTTAATTTCCCACTGAATAGCAAAAGGACACCAAATAATACAAGTACATGTTGAAACACTTTTCCCAGGAAGTTTCAAAACTAAGACCTTTTAGAGATTCTTCTTCAGTTAATGTTATCTGCATATACTGCTTCTGTATTATTAAAGAAAGCATTTACAACCATTAAGAAAATAAATGCATAAAGATATTGCAATATCTTTAATCATAATAGCAGAAGAAAGCAGAAGTAGTGGAACCACTCCCAGCAACCGATGTGTCTAAGCAACACCAATGCTGTCTTTATCCTTATTTTTGACCCTTCTCCATGTTTTATCACACCTTATCTTTTTTCTGTGAAACACTGAGGAAGATTTGGAGGGCAAAAGAAACCCTTGTTCTCCTAAGCTCAAGTAGATTTTATGCGCAGGCCAGAACACATTAGAGTGAGAAACCATTGCATTCATTCTTTCACTCCTTGTCTGTCCTGATCTTAGATTACAGCAGCTATGAGATGCCCCTAATTAAAGGCATTTAATTCATAAATGAATTTACAGGCACTCTGATGTCGAAAGTGGAATCAACAGATCTACATTCAGTTTGTTAGAAAACGAACTGTGAAACCTCAGAGGTTATTTTATACTCCAGGAACTACGAGACTCTTTGCACTGTATTCACTGTAGCCAGCTCACTAATCAGGCAGGCACCTAATCTAACACAGAGGGGATGTAATAGGTAGTGACTCCAGCTGTTTTTATAAACAGCCTAGAGGTCTGAGCACTCACCTGGAACATGGCTTTTACTAACCATCAGCCCACTTTGTTTCATTTCTACACATTTTGTAGTTTAGGAGTGTGCTTTACTTATTTGCCTATAAGACCTTGATGGTTAATATTGACTTATACTGGAGTCAGTATCAAGATTAATTAAGCCAAAAGATAATTATTAATTGATATGTAAATGAGATCAATAAAATACTGGCATTAATAAATCTTGATATTGACTAAAAGCAAAACAAAAGAAGTGCTATACTAAACATAAATATTGCAAGCATTTACTGCATCCCTCTGACCAAGCGATAAACTGGAAGAGGTTGAACCATTAGTTGATTTAAAAGTCAAGCACTTTCTCCCTTCTTGATGCCGTGTTCCCTCAAGATACAGCAGGGAAAAAAATTACATCTTTTTGTGTGAAATAAGCTGCATCCACCACTTGCACCCTTTGTGGGACTGTCAAGAAAGCTACCCTGCTTTATTTCAATTAAAAATTTCGCACTAGGTATACAAGCCAGCCACAGCAAAATTATTTAACAGTGTGTTTCATTGCCACAATCCTCTGACAATGCTGAACCTTGCCCCATCATTTTCTCCATAGTCCTCCACCCCAATAACACACTGCACTTTTTCCAAGTTGTGAAAATACGCTTGTGCAAAAGTGAGCTTAGTGGGCAATTACAGACTACAACAAAATTTAAGATGATACTTAAATCAGTGGAAAGGAGTGGATACTTTGTGCCATCATAGCAACAAAGTAGAAAATACAATCAATACGGGCAACTCTTGTATAACAGGCTCTGGATAGAGTAGTGGTGTTCAACCACAAACAACCTAGCACTTTAAGTTGTGAATCTTGACAGAGATAGTACTTGGAAGAAGTCTTGTATTCTTCCAGAGCCACAGTCCTTGACTTTGACCTTGAAGTGTTAGGATTAGCATTTTTGCAGGGGAAAGAAAAGGTGTCTTTCCTGGCAGCTTTTCTGTTGGATTGAAGGCACTCTAAGACAGGGACTTCACCACCTGTCTTGAGAGTGCAGAAGCCCTTAACAAAAAAACTGCTTCTTCTTGTTCCACAGCAGGGAAAAGCAAGAAAGAGAAGCACTGTAAACTAGCTGGCAACTACAGGTCTGTTCCAGATCTAGCTCATGATATTTTTACTTTTAATATAACAGTAGTACTGCTTAAAAAAAAATAAAAATCCATAAGCTGTTAGTCCTCTTTCTCCATATAATTATATGGGCGGCTGTAAATGCTGTCAGAATCTAAATCCATAAACACCGCTATTGTTCTGTAACTCAAGCAGGCTGTTTCCTTAAACACACAACCCTCCCATTACTCATCATTTCTACCTTATACTCCTGGATGACTCCATTTTGGTGATCTGGAGGGGGAGGATCCCAGGAGATGCTGATGCTTGTGCTGTTGTGATTTCCAACTGTCAGGACAGTAACAGACTGAGGAGGGGCACTTGGAGCTACACCAAGGAGAGAGAACAAACAGAAGCAAGATATTAATCCATTTGCTAGAGCACGAATTTTGCTGAAATAGTGTAAGAGCAAGCAGACAGTATACCAAGTTCGCACTCCCAGCAGGCCTAGGTATGTACATTTTGTTAGGCACTGACAATTTTGAAAAATGCCTTTCTGAAGAGAAGCACAGTGCTGAATGACAATGTGGAATTTGTGGCAATGGAGAATCAATACAAATCACTCCTAATTTATTTATATTTAGCACTTCTTAAGTTTGAATTGCAATTATTTTCACACTTGCGTTTCTTTTCCATAATATGCATGGGTAGCTGTGGATATATCAACTAAGTCATAACGTAAGAGTGCTTCACCTGGCCTGAAAAGTGTTTTGATTCTTCTTTCCCCACATGGTCTTCCATTTAAGGATCTTTTTTGGTTTCCTATTTGTTCTCCAGGAAGACATTAACTTAACAGGTTTGAACGTAAAGCCTTGCAACGCCTAGGTAGAAAAGGGTTAAAGCGCTCAGGGCTTTACATCAAATGCCAGTGAATAGGGGAGGTGCTAAGTTAGGTCAGATATATATTTGTGTCCTCTTTTCCCTAGGCAAATTGTTTTCTCTTCAGAGTCCTGTTCAGTTCAACCATTCACAGCTGTTTGGCTGGTCACTGCATATCAAGGCCGTATCTACAAGACAATTGCTTGCCAGCCCTGCTACGTTGGCTAGAAGTGTGGAAAAAAAAATCATAGCTGTTAGTGATCAGAGCTGTGCTGGCAAAGCCCCTCTTGCAGCTACATCAGCAGCAGGGTGCTTTTGTTGGCTCAGGACATGTTGTTTGGGAAGTGGCACAGCAGCTCCGCTACGGTCAAGTCCCCTCTGTGAGCATCTGCTGCATCTCCACGCGGGGGCTCTCCCATCATAGCTATAGCTGCCACGGCAGAGGGCTGTGGCATACGTCCCTTCCTCAGCCACTTGCAGCCCCCCTCCCCTCCCTTACTTCTAGGCAAGTGTGGAAACTCCACTGCAGTGGCAAGCTAAGTCACCAAAGCCGAGCGTATTATGCTAAGGTCTAGTCTCCGGGGAAAAAATAGTATTGATAACAGCTGCACTGAACTGGTCCTAGGATCCATGGTAGTCCATCTATCCCAGTCTATCTATCCAGTCTGCCACAAAACTAATAGAAAGAAACTAGGAAAGTGTGGACTAATAAAGTGAGCATATAGCGATACCTCTCCAGGACACAAAATTCCAATTCACAAAAGACTGTTGCTCAGAGACTTTCTGTTCCAGGGTGATGTCTTTGTGTTTAATAACTCCTTAAGGAATTTTCTTCCACAAATTTGTTATTGCCTTTAATATGATCTTAAAACATTTAATATGAAATTTGGAGGCTTATTTTGAAGAATGATAGTAGGCTTTGTACCAGAACCTAAACTATTTATCACTCCTCCCTGCCCCAATATCAAATCTAGATAGTCCTCTGGTTTTAGGCATCCTACATCATGTGTCATGGCTCCCTGACTCCAGTCCCCTGCTCCAGAATATTCCTATCCAGAGACTACTCCTTCACCACTAAGCTCTATGGCAAGAGGACTCTAGTCTTACCTTTAACAGTTATTCCTGACTACGTGAACATACCTGGACCACGCTTCTTGGAAAAGCAAAGAACCACTGTCATCTTTGTATTAAAGTCTGGCAGGTTTAACACAACTAAAAACAGCCACAGATATCAGGAATATTCGAGTTTCCTGAGCCAATCCAAATTTCCTTATTTTTCCCCGTGGCCTCTTTGAGACTGGCTATGTTCCCACTTCAGATGCTCCTCAGTGCTTGACTTGGCACAGGCTCAAGGAACTGAGCTCAAATCCTTACCCTGATAACCCTGAAGAGTGGGAGTAGGCTGTCGCAGGAATCATACAACTCCAAACTAGGGTAACAGAGCTGGGGAAAAGGGACCATGCAAGCTTACATCAGAAAAAAATACTCAGAGGAAAAATGACACATATAGGACTGTCCTGTGAGGCTGCACGTTTTGACAACTACATTTTCAGATCCTGGTTCAGCTGCAAAGCAAATAGTGCTAGGTAGAGTCCTTGTGACCTTGAATGATGCAGAGAAACAGCGTAGTAGAGGGGAGGAACAGAGCTGTATTGTGGACAATTTGACTCTTAGCCTGCTCAAGTGAAGCACGGAAAGGTAGCCTTGGGCTACTTGCAATCATGCAAAGCATAAAACTGGTGAAGTTAATACTTGCATTGTGTATTTTATGGCAAGTGAAATAATTTGCCACACAGTAAAAAAAAATAGCATTTTAAAAGTCTTCAAGTTATTCAATAACAACAAAACCATGAATAAATGTATGTGTGCAATATTAATTAAAACAACATTTTATATGAAAATAATAATCATTAAAATGGCAAAGCTTAACACTGTATAATACATTTTTAAGTACAGTGGAACAACTTGCCGAGATGCATTTACTTTCATCCTCAAACACAACGGGCATTCAGAAATATAATTTCTTATATACACATACACAGAGAGAGAGGAGAGTAAATGCTAAAGAAATGTAAAATGAACACTGTACTCTAACTCTAAGGAAAACTTACGTATTCATTTATCTTTGCATTTAAACTGCATGAATATTCTAGTTAATATTCTACCAGTGTCTGTCTATTTTTTTTTAGAGGATATATGGTAAGTTTGAAGTAAAATTAAAATTGCAGCTGATGAATGCAGCTGAAAGTATCACTTTAAGAGCTGCACTAAAGCAGGAAGGAATTGACAGGCAGCAGCTGATAAAAACTAAGGAGACTTCCATTACTGATGGTCGTATTTTTGTGGTGACAAACAATATGCAGAACAAATACTACTCCACAAAGTTATTCCAAAAAAGACTTAAAGCAGTGGATGTAATTGAAAAAGAAATCATCTATCTTTAGAGCAAGTGTGAAAGAAATAGTGAAAATTATATTAAAAAAAACTTTATTTAGCTTCTTTTCATATATGTATGCACATACATGTATATAACAGTTCTGCTTCCTCTGATAATATCACTCTGTAAGCTGGCACCATGATATAAATTAAGCCACTTGTCTGATACTGCTGCAGTTATTAAATAGACCACATTGAAAAATAACATTTTTAAAACCGTTTTCTCATTTCCCTTTCTGCTGGCTTGTGGAGAACACCTTGCCTGCTTCTTGACAGGTCAATTATTCCAGTGCTCAGCTTCTTCTTACAGATATGAAAGAACCCAAATCGCTGCTCATCTTTTCCAGACGCAGCCAAACAGAATTCCATTTGTTACCTTCACAAGGCCAAAGAGGCAGGAGATGGATGGATACTGAACTGTGACAAATGTCTGATCTAGAGGAAAAGTCTAACTGCAGCAAAATTGATTTTTGGAGGTAGGCCTCAGAAGTAACATTGCATGTAAAATTCAATCCAGCAGAAAGCTGCCACTACCTCTTGTTCGTACTTTGCCTTTACCAAGACTATTAGTTTTGATGTCACAAAAAACTTCCAATACGCGTATCACTCTTTCAAATTATTTTCTAAAAATAGTATACCTGACATTTTTTAAAAGTCAAGTCTAAAAAAGCTCATTTTCGAAATGGAATCACAGGCGACACAGCAAGTGGGATACCTTTAAATAGACTGCCATCTTTCTTCATCGGATGAGAAGCAAACCACTGTCATTAAACATTTAGTTGATGCTATTTTTTAAATAGATGAACACCAATATAATTACAAAGATAAGGTGAGGAATTAAAGGAAATATCTGAGAACTGCCTCTACTGAATGTCTTAATTTTCTCATGGAAGTGCTTAACTTTATCACCCAAGCAAGAGGAAGAATTATTTACAGGGGCTGACATTTGTCTGGTGATAATACTATGTGTTATAGGCTGATGTTTTTTTGAGAGAGACACTTGTAAACAGACTCCTTGAAGGTTATATTAATCTACAAAGCAGATCTTAGGCTGTGAATTATACATATCTGTAGGCAAGAAAAGTTTTTTAAATCTTCACTACATGGAAAGTTATTTCACATGAACAAAGTGGCCTTTAAAGTAGGAAATTACCTGACAGGCTCTGCTGGGAGATGAGGTTTATAAAAGAAAATGTCATTCCTCAAGTATTTTATAGAAATAGACAGGAGGTACAAAATCTTCTCTCTTTTTTCAGTAGTTCTTAATTTACCTTTAGCGGGAGACTGTTAGATGAACTAAATAAACAACAAAAATCAATTTAAATTGGACAATAGTGAGGGGGGGAAAATTCTACATTTTAACTCTAGAAAAGCAAATTAATCTGTATAAAGCTTTTTTTTTTTTTTTTTTTTTTTTTTTGGAAAGCTTTGTTCAGAGTGTCTTTACTGACTGATTTAGGCTTTATAGTCTGAACAAAGAAATGGGAACCATGAAGTTCCAAATTCTAAAACTTGAACAATCCCTTCCTACACACTCTTCTACATGTTGCAGGACACTGAATTTCGTCATCTATAAAGCAGGGACTACAACCAAGTTTTTCTCAGGATTACTTACTTGTTGGGCAATAATCATAACAAATCAAAGAGAAAAGTGAGTAATAAGTGAGTCTGTTCTAGAATTAAAAAGTACTTGGCAATCAGCACTAAATTAAACCTCGGGAGACTACTGTAAATGATTAAGATGCATCTTCAATAGGAA